GTCGATGTGAACTAAATGTTCAAATAAAGTCCACATTTCTCGATTCAGATTGTCACTTTAGATTAATACAGACATACAGTTGGTTGCATTCGGTGGAGGCTTACAGTATTCAAACGATACCTACGTTCTAAACAAGTATAGTCTCGTCCAAGTTTCATATCAGTTCCGCCATTCATTTCGCACAAACGTGGTCGCGCCAGAAAAAAATATAAATTCAAGAAAAATATTTTGTACGACGCGGATTAACAATTCGACTATCCATAGGTCGACAACAAACTACCAACCTTCAAGGCGAATTCGTCTCAAACATACGATTCCAGCAGAACACTATTCCGAGTTGTCGTCTTTCCTTACTCTCGCTGTATGGGTCAACTTTGACCTCTGATCTACGGGGATGTAAACTGTGTCATGATTGGCTGTTTATCCACTGGCGGCAAAACGATTTAGCCAGCCAATACATCACAGTGTTTGTCAACATTTGTTAAATGTAACTATGACTTGATCAGTTAGGGCTGTATTTAAACATAAACGATCAATACCAGCTCGGGCATTTATTAATACGGAGTTCGTTACTAAGCCAATCAAATTAGTTTTTACATTTACAGTACGTGTATCATTAACAGGTTTGTTGGTGGCGCTCTTGCAGCGTAGCCGGCGTGTACGAGTATATAGTTTTTACGTACGAGTTGTAACACATATTAAACAATTTATCTCAACATTTTGTTTTTGTATTTTTAACACTTTATTGAGTTATCTTAATTTAACTTTATTACTCGGAGCCCAAAAAAGATTGTAATTTCTTTACGGTGACAATAAAGTGTTATTGTATTGTATTGCACATCCCTTCATTGTTTGCATTGTTTGTTCATACACAAACCGTGACATACTAGTAATTACGTAAATATGTAAAATTAAACAACACAGACAAGTGCCTTCAAAAGTTATAATTATAAAAAGTTCTACCAATCATGTACAATGTGAAATGTGGAGAAATTATATTGCGAAAAATTAATAGAACCAGTAAAATAAATCGTTATATTTAGCTTTGAATGACAAATATATCGATAAAGGAACATGATTCTGAATTATAATAAGAAAATCTAGTTTTTGTAAGCGATTATGATAAAACCTATTCTTTCCTATATCATTTAACAAAATCAATTCCCCAAATTCTTGCCAGGTATTTGACTATTAAGCTGTTTCCGAAGAGATAGAAACAGTACTCTGTACACATGACATGAAATGGACACCGTTTTGATGAGCTGTTCGTATAGCTTAATTTACAAATGTAGGTTTTCTTCGATTCTAGCTACAAAGAAGTAGCATTCACATTATGTTCGAGGCATTCTGAAATTTAATTCAACATTAACTATTTTGAAATCTTCTATCCGTTTTTTGAAGTTCCCATTATTCATACTGTAGCAATTCAAAATAGCTTTAGATAGTTTTGAACTTGTATGATTATCATACGCGTCTTCCCCGCTAACATTGTAGTCACCAGGTATTGTGTTAACACTCTTCAGTCATTTGTCATTTGTGACATTTTATTATCTTATCTGATAATAACATGATTATGGAATGCAGGCGGCCCTAGGGGCCAGTGTCGATCCAATTTAATGCAATTAATTAATGACCCTAAATGCATTGCCATATACATGTTACAGCTAGCATCAGCTTTCATTCAAATATCCAATAGTGTTTGACTTAAAAACAATGTTATGATTAGATAAAGTTTAACTATCTCGTTAACATTAACTAGAACTATCGTTGATGTTACAATGCCATTTGCAGCGTGATTGGCCAATTTCAATTCAAACATTCATTTTGATTTATTAAAATGTATATATATAAACGTTTATAACGACCACAGCTCGTTGCTGCATATCTTTAAGTGTTGTAAAAAAATTGCTTGTGGTAATCATTTGTAGTACAGGTAACATCTGAGCGGAGCGAAACGAATACTTGGCGTAGTCATAACTGGTGGTTACAGTGAGTGTAAAGTAATAATATTTTTATTGTTTTTCCGATAAACAGTGCGCGTACTTTTTTTTTACCATACAACATTGTTTCTGTTCGTGATATAAAACCTAGTGTTCGAACTCAGTGGTTCTTTGCTCCCTAATTACTTGCTGTTAAAATAGTTCTATGCTGGATCAATGCAAACCAAAACCCAACTGTAGAAATGCAGGTGATTCAAATTGAAAGAACACATCCATGAATCAAATTACTTTACAGGAAAGTCCCACCCCTTATTACCAAGTATAGTATAATATAGTATATTTTATTTGACATGAAGTCACGTAGTGAATACATAAATTATGTTAACTATACATAACACACGCACATATACATTAGATCATTGTAAAATAGACCTATCATTGCCACATAGTATATTGACATAACCCTTCTCCATCATGAAATATAATTTACAGATCCCATTGATGACTCGCACAACCGTTGCTAAGTTTCCACTATTCCAAGTGGTTATACTGCATGTGGTACAATAAATCAATATAGTTACGACACGAACACGGTAACTGGTGACTTCGTTCGGTTCTCGGTCTATTTTTGTACTATCATGTATTACTGGGTGGGCATATGGGCAAGTAACTGCAGTTTTGCAAGATGGCTGTCAAATTGCAAAACAATAGTCCTGCTATACTGTCTATGATTAAACATGCACACCATCACAGATATGTGGGGTATTATTTCCTCAGCAATTTATGAATAGACTACACATATAACGTTATAACGATGACATGAAAGACAGCGTGTCAACCGTTTCAGCCACTATTAGAATATCTCTGCCACGCGTTGCCACATTGCTGTCAACTCACGGCGTGAGCTCCGGAACCTAATTCGTGTTGTGCGACTCAATACGAGGAGCGTGTATTTGAGTGGCTGATCACCCAAGTATAACGAATCAGACATCATTCATACACGTACCGTGTCATGTTGAGGTCGTTGCTCTCCTTGAAATGTACAAACATGACAACTATTGTCATTGAAATGTACTAGCGAATGCATGGCTTTGTTGTTATCCTGTGGGTAACCTTGACAACGTCAGAACACTAGTCCGCCATTTTGGGTAGAGGAATCAAAACAAACATAAGCGAACACACGTAATAGGAAGTGTAGGTTTATTCGCCGTTCGATGAAACCAGCGTAAAATTAAACATAATAATAATCGACTGTGTTATAGTAAAGAATATTGGCTTGACTGTTGAGAGGTAAGTGCGAGTAGATATATTCAAATCCACGACTTGGCGGCTGAGATATGTGTATATATATATGAACTTAATACTCATTCGTTCAAGGATAGTGTTATAAATACAAGATACACGTAATATATAAACGCGGTCAATATGTCTAATATCATTCAATATAAATTTTCATTTTAAATAGAAGTTAAATTGATACAACAGCATGTCACGGTATGAGCGTGAATTACAAGAAAGCCGTTGAACGATTATCATGGCCGTGTTTGGTCGTATAGCATTGTACTGGCCAGTTTAGTTCTAAATAGAGATCATAGTCCAGTCCACAAAACTAAATCCCAAACTAGTGTGACTTGTCCAGATGCCGCGTTCTCTACAAATAACGAGACGGTGTAAGGACGGCACCGCCTTTCGTATTCACGATTTATATGTGTATGTAGTATATTTGTTAAAGACTAGCTGAGGCTCTTCTAGTTACAACAATGGTTGATACTTGGGGTCATCGGAGGACAATAAAACGTATATATTTACTCCAACCTTTAATAACGACGCGATAAACTAAGCAAAGGGTCGTTAAACATCGGCTATAAAACGCTCCTCAGGCTTGTGTAAATTACACTTTTCCACTGCGACTTCGCTTGAAGTCAAATCAATGCAGACCGAATTAGAGCTGGGTTCCGTGACCACTTAACCTCACCAATACTTAGTAGATTCGGTGGTATGTCTTATTGCGGGAACATCTAAGAGTTTAAGATCGAGTCATCGGCGACTCAGATGACTAGGCAAATGTCTGAATGCTTCTCTGTGTCGTCGTATGCAGGTTTCAATGAGAGTATATTCATGTTTACACGAACAGCAGAACGGCGTTGCAAGGGGTTTACAACAATACCGATCGATAACACGGTAACGTGATACTATGGGACATAGTAATACACAACTTCGGTAGTGTACTGGTTGTTGCTCTGGTCAACTGATCGAATACAGAACAATGGGAGAGGCCGAATACAAGCATTCTATGTACGATAATACGGGCTGGTGGTCGTCGTGTAGAGCGTGTTCGAATTACTTGTAAACAACCAAAGCATTGTATAGTGACAACCAATGCTTTGTATGATGTCATATGTTCTCAGTATCACGGACACTTGTCGCCTTGTCGTCTATGAGAAAGGGGTATACACAAAATTGTCTGAAAGGTTATTATATCCCTTATTTCCCTTTTTTAACTGTCTTGTTGGCTGCATATCCCTATTATAATTCCAGGAGTACCCTCTCCCCATTGGGATCGTCAATTTGCTTGACTTGTCTGTTTTTGCGTTAATAAAGCGAATGCCGTAACGCAAGTACCGTCCGGTGTTGAGGGACGGTGCCGTAAGTAACGACGTTGCGAGGGGTATTTCGTTACTCGCGCTTCTGGGCAGTGTTCATTCAACTGACGCAACCAAGCTGGTTGACCAGTATAGTATAGTATATTATATTTGACACGAAATAATATATTTAGGTACATTATCTATGGTCAAAAGACGATAAATAAAATAAAACACAAATACACAAACACAACAAAAGAAAATACATAAAAGACTAAAGTCTAAACAAAATTACTTATAGTAAAATAATATGCTTTAATTTACTAGCACTATTGGCAATGAACACATCTCTTGAACTTACAATTTCTGCAAACATTTGTTGTTTTGATAGTGTAAGGATACTTTCATTATAAATGCTAACTGTATTTAGAAATTCAGTACGAGCATTGGATATTTCGGTATGGTTACAGTCTAAAAGTGCATGGATTTCATTGCCAATAACCCCATTATTACAAAGATTGCACTTTCTTTCCTTTGGAGGTATCCCTTGATATCTAAGTTTTAAATTTCAAACGCAAAATTCAACTAACGCAATATGTACTAACTTGTATCAAGGTTGCGGCAAAATAAACTGTAAAAGTAATTATGTTGTCGTATGTATTGTTATTCACAGATATACCGTGGATTATATTCAGTGCCAACGCAGTTATCATTCGGAGACACTATGTTTGGAGACACGACAAGTTACTATCCCGTCAACTCCAATATCCCTGTGGATGCCCCTATCGGTAAGTTTATAATCAACGCCCTCAACGTTCGAAATATAACAATATGCCTCATGATATATTTTA